TTTTTGACACTTAAGGCCAGCGGTGTCATAAATATTTATGAAATGAACTAAGTTATCCATTCACAGAAAAAAAAAATGACAAGCAGGATATTTGTTGCCTGCAAGGCTGCACTTGTCTATGCAGCATTAAAAATCATATGAATTATATTAGAACTGTAACTCAAAAATGGTCCCTGAGAACAGTGACAATTGTCTTGTGAGCTGGAGTGCTGGAGGGATAATCAGATAAAATAATACAGTAGGATCTGTTTTGTCATACAGCTGAACAAAAACACAACTGTGGGGACAGTTGGGGCCTTAGAGTGGAGCTCACCATTGACAGGGTATTCTTCCTGTTCACTGCTGATCTGGGTATAATGGGTTAATTGGGCATTCAAGATTCAGTGTAATTGTCATTACACAACACAAGATTACACAACAAAATTGTGATGTAGTGTCTCTATGCTATTCCCAAAATATACTAGAAACACTGCACTGCCTTTGTATGCCTCCGTCAGCCACTGCAGTTTCTCTACACACTGAAATCACAGATTTCTAATCAAATAATCTTTAAAGCCTTGTAACAACTGTTAATCTTAGAAGAAATTCCCAAACGGCAGGGTTGACATATGTTCAATTGGCCCAAAAAAAGTTTTTTCTGAGGCTACTGTGACCTTGACCTTTCACTTTTCCCCGCCCAAATCTCGTCAGCTAATCTGTAAATCTAAATTAGCATTTGCACCAAATTTAAAAGGATTCTCTTGAGGTGCTCTGAAGATTGATAGGTGTACATACGCACAGACAACCTGAAAACATAATGCTTCCAGCCCCCAAATGGAGGAATAAAAATAATAACCAAAATACCAATTATATGACTGTCAATGACCTCACTCAAACGCTGTAGTGTATTTTTTTTATTTGTATCTAGAGTAATGCAAACACAAACACACTGGTGGATTCTCTGGTTTGGTAGTGATTTGATAGCACAACAACAACTTTGCTGCCCCTAGTTGAATAGTGGGCATGCATTTGCTCCACTCTGTTGATCAGGTGCTATGCCTCCTAGTAATGTCCTGGTCCGACAAACCCATTCAAGTTCCAGTACTACCGTGGCAGTAGACCATGCCAAGGGGCTCTCACCACAGCAGCCAGAGATGAACCATTCTGGTTTTAACATATTTCAATCAACTTTTTAAACAAATCTCTCCAACATACAAACTTAAAGTGTTCAGCAGTTTCTGCTGGTGCCTGGCTTTTCAGCCCAATGTCTCTGTGTCCTGAGTGTGATTTGCTGCCTATTCAACCTGAGGATCACTCAGCTAACAGCTCTCACCTGTGCTGACTGATCCTCTGTGGTGCAGGTGAAGGTGCTCTCCCAGCCTCCTCACCTCCACAATTACTATCCCATAACTCCAACTTACGATAAAGTCAACTCACTACCTCAACTCACGACCCAGTCCTACGAGTCTACAAGCCACAGCTATGGCTTAGGGAGCTATGCTGCTCTCAAAATAAAAAGTGCTGCTTATAGATGCACTGTGTGTGAATGGGTCAGCCCTTTGAGTGGTCATCAAGACTAGAAAAGTGCTGTATAAATACAGATTAATTACCATTTACTTGATCAAGACAGAGCACTGTACCCCTCAAGATTCTGTCTTACACCCCAGACCTTGTTGTGTCCATTGACATAGCCCACAGAGCAACACACAAATATAAAATAACTAAGAAGTTTGGAATCGATTTTTGATTA